TTTTTTATAAAACTTTTTATGAATAAGTATAAAGTATTATATATTTTAAAAACCATCATGTTATGGAGATTTTAAAACAAATTAAATTTTTTAATTATATGGTTTTGATTACAAATAATTAATTAAACTATAAAAAAAAAAAAAATCTTAATCTTTTTTTGGCAGCGACGCTTTTTATCACCGACGCTTTATTTTTTATCACCGACGCTTTATTTTTTATCGCCGACGCTTTATTTTTTATCACCGACGCTTTATTTTTTATTAGGGATGTACCGAAGCTTCGGCTTCGGCTTCGGCGTGCCGAAGCTTCGGCAATTTTGCCGAAGCTTCGGTTCGGCCGAAGCCAGGTCAATTTTTTGCCGAATCTTTGGCTTCGGCAAAAAATTTTAAGTAATTAAAGTTATAAGCTACTGTGGGACAAGTTATAAAAATAAGCTAATTGCCAGTGTCTGTTATAAATTTAGGACTACAGAGTTAAAGTTGGAGTCTATACCATATACTTAGTATTATTTACTCCCAAGTGTCTTGTTATGGAGGGGATAATAATAAATAAGTAAAAATATTTTGAAAAAAATAATAAAATTAGGGAAGGTCCTCATACACTTTGAAAGCTTCCAAGTGTGACTTTAGATGAACTGAAGCAGCATTTCTATGCAGAATAAAAACCTTAAAATTTAAAACAAATTAAAAGTTCTTAAAACTCTAATTTGTATTATGTAACGAATTCATATTTATTATTGTGTGGAATTACCGAAAATAGAACAAAATTTGGTTTCAACATTTGACCGATAAACCTAGTAATCTCTCTTTAAAGAAGATTAAAGATATGTTGCTACTATTTTAAATTGTGTGTAAATTTACAAATTTTCATCGTAAATTTACAGAAATTGGTTAGGTGTCACTTATATAGATACAAAACAGTCAATGGAGTGATAAAAAACAAAAAGTTCTCAACAACAAAAAAGGAAGAAAAGCAAATGAAATATAAACGAGGAGAATAAAAAAAGAAAAAAAAAGCCAACAAAAACTAGATAAATTAAAAGAAAAAGAAAAACAATGATATAACTAAATTGAATTTATATATTAAACATGTAAACCAATATTCTGGTTTCTTCTTATGATATTATGAAGACTTTTAAATTTTATTTAAAATAAATTAAAGGTTGAAGCTTTGATTACTTTGAGCTCTTATATTTATCATCAAAATTTATTTAAATTAAATAAATAATTTAAATCAAATAAATATCAGCCTGCTCAGTCCCTGTTTATTTATAAATATAAAGTAAATAATAATATAATTATAAATAAAAAATTTATAAAGTATTCTATTTATTATTTTATTTAAAGCTCACTCTACAGAGTTGTTAGATTAGAATTATTTTGTTCTATCTCCACATTTTTTTGTTTCGAGATAAAACGATTTAAAAAATAAAAACTTTAGGAGACGGCATATAAAAAGATTTTTATTACTTATGTTTTCTCCGAAACTTTTTTGATTTTAACTTAGGTTTTAATATAGTAGGAAAAAATTATTTTGAGGTACATTACACAATTAATAACTCATTTTTTTCAAAAAGTGGAGATAGAACAAAATAATTCTAACCTCGCGATTTGATTTCAGATACTGATGCAGATTTATGTAAAAGATTTATGTATGTAAAAGATTAAAAAAAGCTATAGAAAATGTTATGTAGTGTAAAGTTAAAAATAATCAAAAAAAATACTTAAAAGTGAAATCTATCATTTGTACTTTTTTTTAGCAACAGGTTCACAACAGTTGTAGTGGAATCCAAAATGGTCTTAACTTGGGCTTTTTTTAGTTTAGAAATTGTTCGTTTAAAGAATACAGAGAAGTAAAAAAAAAGATATTGAAATAAATAGCAATAAAAGATAAAGTGTGTTTCTAAGATTTTTTATGTTGTAAATACAACTAGATCAGCTAAGAGTGTTTATTTAAAGAAAAAGTGATCGAGTGCAAAAGATAAATTTACTCTAGTAATGTTGAGAGATTTTTATCCACTTCTATTAACAAAAGGTGCATTAAAAATAGAAATAAAATATACAGCACATGAAAAGATGCTATATAACATTAATATGGTTTGCACACAGAAAAAGTAGAACTAGAAGTAGAAAAATTTGGGGAAAATGTTTCAAAAAAGCTTAAGTTTAAAAAAAAAAAACCCTCGGTGCGGTCAAGTATCAGAAAAGACATAATGAGAAACTTTTAAATAAGGGCGCTGAGAGTTTTTGCTCTGCCTGGAACAGCAACCCTGACTGGCGTCCTCATTTTTATACGATTTTTCTATATTATTAGTCAAGGACCTTAGTTTTGGTACCTTTTTTGTTTTACACCCCTGCTGATCTGAATGCTGATTAAATTTTAAGCATATATAGTGCCGAAGCTTCGGCTTCGGCAAAGTGGCTTCGGCCGAAGCTTCGGCTTCGGCAAAATTTCAGCTTCGGTACATCCCTATTTTTTATCACCGACGCTTTATTTTTTATCACCGACGCTTTATTTTTATAATTAATTAGTAGCTTAGGTGTCTATAAAAACGATTTATTAAAAATCAGGTGCGGTTTATAAAGTTATAGATAAAAAAGTAATTAAAGTCAGAAAACAAAAAACCGCTTTTTATCGTGGTTTCAGACTATTTGTTTATAACAAAAGTTTTTTTTGTCCGATTTTTATTGAGAATTAATTTTGATGGACATATATTCAATCCCTACATCACCAGCATTAGAAAACCGTACAGCAAAAATGTCCAAGAACTCGATGAAAATACTTTGCAGTTTTTGAAAGTCTACTTATAATTTATTCTATAAAAACTCACTGTCTAAAAGTTGTTAATAATAAACTATTCTGAATATTGCTATAATAAACATTTTATAAACTCTTGAAAATATATGTCATGTAATCATGTAAATGTTTAATTATATGCAAATCAATTAATTACACGCAACTATTAAAAAATCAAATTAGTAAAGCAATTAAACCTAATATAGGGGAAAGGCGCCTATGATGGCATACTTAACTTTGAAGCTTCATAATTCAATATCCTGAAGACCAAAAACAAAATTTTTGATATGGATATATTCTTTGTTACATGTAGAACAATAATAACCTTAGGAGTTTTTACCAGTTTTATTTTTTTAATAGTTATTTTTATTAAAAAAAAAAAAAAAAGCATAAGTATGCCATCATAGGCAATTACTGCTCCTTTGATGGCATAGGGCAGAACAGGGTTGATTAGCATCAAGGGTAACTAGACAATTTCATTTGACCTAAGAGTCTTCCCTCAGAAATGTCAGAAATTACGTGTAATCATCCTAATTAACTGATTCGTGCTACACAGCAGCAGTGTCAAATTTGGCGCATGCGCATAAGAGATATTGCGTTTTATACGTTTTTTGAACAACAATTTTTTTAGTAAAGTAAAAATTCCTTTTTACTTCAATAAAAAGTATGTTGTTTTTATGAAAAAAAAAGGTTTTCTCCACTCGTCAATATTGCAACACACCTAACTCGTCAGTATGCCATCATAGGAAGAAGTCATCATTTTCATTTAAACAAGCTGTGTCTGCCTTGTTCAAAAGATAAAATTAAAGTAAGTATTCTACTTAATGCACAAAACTTGGAAATAAAATGCATGAAAATTTTATTTCTGCACAGTTAATATTAAAGTCACAATCTTAAATATTTAAAGGGATTAAAAATACAACAGCACATCCCAAAATCGATTTTTGTTGATAATAAAAGCAATATTTATGCATAAGGGACGTATTTTTACTAAAACTAATATAAAGTCAGAATAGACATTTTGGTCTAATCACTTTTTTCGCCATAACCAATATTTATGAAAATATGACCGTTATGCCATCATAGGCGCCTTTCCCCTAGAAAGAAAATTTTCGTTTAAAAGATTAAAAGTTACGTTTGTTTTTTTTTTGTCTAGAGATTAGCCAAAAGCTCGTATAAATATTTTTTAATTATATAAATTTAATATTAATATATTTTCTAAATAAATAAACATTTTTTGTCGCTTCTAATACTTTTAAAATTTTTAAATAAAATTAAAAAAAACATGTTTAGTTGAAAAGACAAAAAAAATTGTAAGGTTTTTGATTTTTGTTTAAAAGTTTTATATTAAGTTTTTTTTTTAAATATTTCCTAAGAAGCCTCATATACTTCTTTACTTTTGTGCAAAATTTCAACACTTTATCATTAGTAACAAAAAAGTTATTGATTTTTGTAAAAAAAAAAATGAAAATTGTGAGGTTTTTGATTTTTATTTGCGAGTTTTATAATAAATTTTTTTTTATAAAAAATATTTCCTTAGAAGCCCCATATACTACTCTACATTTGTGCAAAATTTCAACACTTTATCTTTAGTTACAAAAAAGTTATTGATTTTAGATCTAAAACAGACCTTTATTTTCCACTGTGCGACGTGCGAAATAAATGCAATATTAAAAATAAAAACTTTGAAAAATTATTACTTTAGCAGAATTTTTCTTTTAACTAAGTTTTTCTTTGCGTTTCTATTTCATAAGATATTTTTTAATATTTTCTTATTTTTTAAAAAATTAAATTAAAACAAGATTTTATTAAAAATTAAAACAAAATTTTATTGAAATACTAGTGTCCTCTTAGGTATTTATGGCCTGCTACACAGTCTCCGAATTAGGTTTGTAAGGGTTATGGGATATTTTTACAAGTGAATTGCTCCAAAGAAATAATAAAATTAATAGTAAAAAAATAAACGCAGAGCCGTGGCTATTAGTATGGAAACCCCCGCTAAAAAAAAAATCACTAGGCCCCAAGAAAATCTGTCTTTATTAAGTATTACTGAAAAAAAAAAATCAGAAATTTCTACTTTTATATAAAAACTCTTAAAATTGGGTAAAAACATAGCGCCGTCCAGGTGTTTGAACTAAATAAGTTAATAAATTGTTTTTTCAGATTTGCAATTATATGTAAATAACTAAACAAATAATCAAAATCAAGTTCATAGCTTTTATGTTTCATTTAAAAAGACTGGGTTTCACAACTAATAACTAGATTGTCCGCCATGATCGTCACTGTTCAACTTTATTATTATTTTTAACTGTAAGCGATATCAAATTTTCAAATCAATTTCTTCATCTCCATTCATTGAATTTAATAACGACACAGATTTCTGACTACAAATTGCAACAGTTGAATATGTTGCGATTGTTTCGAATAACTGTTAAACAGTATACAGCTTCTTTAAACATTATACGGTTTCTTTTTCTTTTTCTTTTTTATTTTAAGGTCCTTTAGCTTAAATAAAAATTTAATAAAAATTAAAACAAAATGTACAACTGCATTATTTGAGGGTGAGCAAAACCGGATATTCGGTCCGGTTTGTTAGAATCGGATTCGGATTTTAACAAACCGAACCGAATAACCGGTTTTTGCTCACCCTAGTATTATTTAATCGTTGGAATCAATTTTACTAAAGATCAATTTCATTTTCAATTTTAATAATTTGTTGTATTAATCAAACCAACTTTACATATCATACAAAACCAGAATAAACTAAATAAAAGAAATAACCAATACTTACAGTTATTTTAGGCGAAGGAGAATCATTCATAGGCATCCATGCACACATCATTCCGTCTTCAGCCCCAGTCAAGAAATACTAAATAAACGTAGATTTCAAGTTAAAAGTAAAACAACCAAAAAAATTTAAACAAATAACATTCAGAATTTATTTCATTATTTCAACCTGAACAAATGTCTATTAAATAAACCTGTTTTGCGTAGACGAAGCAACGGATAATTGACGAATGACCTCCTTGCAAAACTTGAAAAGGTTCGATAACATCTACATTGACATGAAAGATCTCGATATCACCACTGTAAAATATTAACTTTTAATTTAAACAGTTTTCCTATAACAGGTAAATTGTCTCAAATTAAAAAATAAAGTTGTTTATACGTTAACAACAGTTTTTTCTTGAGATTGCTGTATTTAGACAATACAGCAATCTCAATATAGAATGTCACATTCAATATGTTACCCACAGTACCAGGAATTAGCTAAATGCTAATGTTTATAATATAGTTTAATATTGCAACTCTGAGTTTCATGTGTTACCACAATCATCAAGTAGTAAAAGTTTAATTTTGCTACGATTGGTTTAGTGGACGTTACGGTTTATATTTGTATTATGGATCGTTACGGGACGGAAATTGATTAGTAGTTAGGTTAATAATAATATCCATATATATATATATATATATATATATATATATATATATATATATATATATATATATATATATATATATATATATATATATATATATATATATATATATATATATATATATATATATATATATATATATATATATATATATATATATATATATATATATATATATATATATATATATATATATATATATATATATATATATATATATATATATATATATATATATATATATATATATATATATATATATATATATATATATATATATATATATATATATATATATAAATATATAATACAGTGGTCTACACTGGACTTTTAGATGTTTGAGTTTTGACACTTACAGGTATTGTGCAAACTCCAAACTTTAGTATGTTCATACTTATGTCAAATGAGAATGTTTTGCAAAAAGTTGTGGTGATTGGAGCTTGAGGACAAAAAACCCTAAGAGTTTAAAAGCAACTTTAGCTTCAACTAATATCAAACAAAATTTCTGCAGATGAAAACAATACTAACCACATAAACAATTTGAAAGTTTGTTTTTTCTCTACAAATTTAAAACCTGCATTTCTCCGAAATTTTAAAACCTGCATTCACACAAATAAATCATTTAAAATGAGAAAAAAAATTAAACATTTTCCCTGGCACAGAGCTACACATTTTTATTGGTGTTACTTTTTGTAAAAAAAATGAATTAGTTTGTTACCTGTTTTCATTTTTTTTTTTTTTTTTTTTTTAACATCTTCGCTTCCAACAAGGCTGCAAGCAACCACTAATTAGTGTTGGAAGTTACTGGAAGAAAAAAGATGAAGATTGTAGAGCAAGATAACGATTAACAGATGATTTAAAAGATTGAAAATTATATGAATCAGGAAAGCAAGATGAAGGAAGCTAATTTCAAAGAACTGATGTTCGAGGAAAAAAACTAGACGAATAAGAGTTTTTGGAGCACTTAGGAACAGTAACAGAAAAAGGATGAGACTTAATTGAATGACGAGTAACAGGAGAGTGAATTTTAGTAGATGGCACAAGAGAAGCTAGCTCTTTAGAGCAGTGCCCATTATAGTATTTGTAGAAAAGAGAAAGAGAAGCAACATTACGACAATGTGACAGAGGTTGAAGATTGGCTGCAAGAGCAGGTCCAACTATGTTTACAATGCGTTTTTGCACTTTGTCTAAAAGAGAAAGGGCATCATTAGAAGATCCGCCCCAGATATGGCAGCAATATTCCATACAAGGTCGGATTTGAGATTTATAGAGATAGAGAATAGAATCTAGAGTAAGAAAGTGTTGAGCTCGATAAAGAGAAGCAACTTTAGCAGATGCTAATTTTGCAACGGATTTGATATAAGGTTTCCAAGAAAGATCAATAGTGAGAGTTAATCCTAGAAGATTAAGGGTAGATGACTCATCGAGTACATTACCGTTCATAAATATAGGAAGGTCTAAATTATTGCAATAACGGTTGGCTGAAAAAAATTGAGTTTTATCTGAATTAAAGTTCACCAGCCACTGTGAGCCCCATGCTGTACCAGAAGTGAGATCCTTTTCAAGCTCAAATGCCCCCTGCAAGCAATCAGAGAGAGTTAGCAATGCCACCTTAGATGTGAGAATATCTGGAAGATCGTTAATGTAAATTAAAAAGAGTATAGGGCCAAGGATTGAACCTTGAGGAAACTCTGAGGTTACAGAATAAGAAGAAGAGTGTTGTCCATCAAGGACAACTTTTACACTACGATTGGAAAGAAAGGATTCAATAATCTTAAAGATGTTTCCAGATACACCGTAAGAAGAAAGCTTATGGAGATTTATGGCTATTAAAATTTAATTACATTTAGAGACTTTAATATTAAACTTTTTGTTATTTAGATTTATTGCTTTAACATTATATTGCAAACTTAAGACTTAAACAAGGTTTAATCAACTTAAACAAGGTTTAATCAACTTAAACAAGGTTTAATCAACTTAAACAAGGTTTAATCAACTTAAACAAGGTTTAATCAACTTAAACAAGGTTTAATCAACTTAAACAAGGTTTAATCAACTTAAACAAGGTTTAATCAACTTAAACAAGGTTTAATCAACTTAAACAAGGTTTAATCAACTTAAACAAGGTTTAATCAACTTAAACAAGGTTTAATCAACTTAAACAAGGTTTAATCAACTTAAACAAGGTTTAATCAACTTAAACAAGGTTTAATCAACTTAAACAAGGTTTAATCAACTTAAACAAGGTTTAATCAACTTAAACAAGGTTTAATCAACTTAAACAAGGTTTAATCAACTTAAACAAGGTTTAATCAACTTAAACAAGGTTTAATCAACTTAAACAAGGTTTAATCAACTTAAACAAGGTTTAATCAACTTAAACAAGGTTTAATCAACTTAAACAAGGTTTAATCAACTTAAACGCATAAATACTATAGTATAATCTAAATAGTTTTATTTTTAATGTTTTAAAAAATTAAAATTTTGTGCTATATTTATATTTACAATTTTTATTGTTTTTATTATATATTATTATTAATATTATTATTATTGCTATTATTATTATTATATACTGTTTAATTGTATAATTCAACTAAATTCAAGGTCAAAGTTATTGTGTAAACCTCATGGTTAAAAACCCCTTTAAATTAAAAAATGACCTTTTTATTAACAAAAATATTTTTGGAACTTAAAAAAAAAAAAAGGAAATTTCTGTCACAGCTGATAGAAGTAAATGCTCCTATTATTACTACCACCCTCCTTCCCTCTTATTCATTTTAGGTAAAACCTACTTTTATAAATAAGAAAAAATTACATTTTAGGTTTCAAGAACTTTTTTAAAGCACTTAGCACACAAAAATAAATTAATGATATTTGAACCAATTAAAAAATTATGGTTAAATTAAAATTTACTGGCAACCACGAGAAGCACTGACTTAAATCTTACCTTTTAGTTCCGCCGACTAAAAACAACCGTTGTGATAACTCATGATAAAAACAATCTATGATGTAATTTATTGATTTCTAAAGAGTATAATTTTTGTAAATTAGTAATAAAATTTGAAACTAGAAAATTATTAATACTTTTAATAAAAACTATAATTACAGCTTTTTTCAACAAATCATCACAAGAAACCATTAGTTTTGCCTAAAATAAAAACCAAAATAAAAAAATAACATCTAACAAGGCTACAATGAAGCACTAATTAATTTGGGAGTTAACAGAAAACAAAAAAGAGCAAAAAAAGGATTAAAAGAAGACTTAAAAAGCTGTAGAAGAAAAAAATGTTATATTTCTATATATATGTCTAGAGAATATTATATGTCTAATATTGTCCAAAACAGTTAAGTCTAATAGAACTGTACTTTATATATAAATATATGAATTTATAAATATTTACATGATAAGAATACGTATTTTGCATTTATTAATAAATATCTATAATAATTACAATACCATTAGTGTATATGTATTTATACATATAAATACCATATATACAATAACTGTATATGAATATACAGTTATGGAATATATACTATAACTGTATATTTGTGGAAGCAGGTAATAAGCTAGTCGATGTATGTACTGAAGTCACTGGCAGCAGGTTATTTTTTGGGTTTTATTGGGTAAATTTTGGTTTTTTTGGGTTTTATCTTTATTTCTTCTCTGTAAAATTTTTTTTTTTTTTTTGTTTAATGGTATTGAAAATTATTTTTATTTTCTTCTTTAACTTTATTTAAAATATATTTTATATATTATTATTTAATAATTTATAAAAAGAATTTTTCAAATTATTTTGAAAAAGATTTTTAAATATAATATAAAACTGTAACAGAAAAAAAAAAACTACACGTTAAATCTCTACGTATTGATTTATTTTAATTTTAAAAGTATTATTCTAAAAACTAAAAATGTCAATAGAAAAAAGAAGGCTAGAGAATGGGAGGTAGTAACTGAAGTTTCAATTAAACTTTGAACTTGAAATTCAATTGAACAAATTTGTTTTTCTGCGCAGCGACCTTGTTTATAAAGAAAAAGTGTTTAGGAGTTAAAGAGTTGAGAGAGGGTTGTAACCACAATAAGGTAGCCTTCTCGACTGTAGTGGACTTCTCTCGCCACTACTACTCATTTAAATTTACCTTGGAAGTAAATAACAAAAAATTAAAAAATCTCAATCAATTAAAATATTTGAATAAAAATTGTAATAATGTATTTCCAAATAATGATTCGAATATTAATAAACCTGCTCTGATAGCTGTTATTTTTGGTTATAATAGTTAATAATAATAGTTTATAATAATTTAGTTAATAATAATAGATAATAATTATTTTAGTTAACAATATTATAGTTATGTTAAAGTTGGTTACAATAGCTCATAAACTTATTAAACAACAATCTAGATCTTCTTATAATCATAAACGGTAATGTGCTTAATGAGTAATCTACCCTTCATCTTCTAAGATAAAGTCTTACTATCCATATTTCTTGGAAACTATATATCAAATCTATTGCAAAATTGGCATCTGCTAAGGTTGCATCTCTTTATTGTGTCGCCACTTTCTTACTCTGGATTCTATTCTTTATCTCTATAAATCTCTAATCCATCCTTGTATAGAGCATTGAAGCCATATCTGGAATGGATGATGCCCTTTGATGTGTCCATATCTGGAGTGGATGATGCCCTTTGAATGATGCCCTTTCTCTTTTATACTTGTCATTCAATTAAGTCTTAATTTTTTACTGTGACTGTTTCTAAGTGCTAAAAAAATTCTTATACGTTTTTTTTTTTTTCCTTGAACATCAGTTCTTTGGAATTCGCTCCCTTCCTCTTGTTTACCTGATTCATATAATTTGCAATCTTTTAAGATTCAATCTTAATCCTCTTAATCTTCTTATCTAAAGCCTCTTAATCATTATCTTTCTTTTAAGTTGCCTCTTAATCATTATCTTTCTTTAGAAACTTTATCATTTTTTTTTCCAGTAACTTTTAACACTTATTATGGTTGCCTGCAGCCTTATTGGAGTTGAAGTTGTTTAAAAAAATGTATATACATTTTTTCATTTATATAATTCGCATGAACAAATATACATTATGGATGTAACTAAAAATTCTTTATTGTTAATTTTCATTACCGATGTTACAATAAGAAAAAATATGTTTAAACAGAAAATACTATAGAGAAGTATCAACTTCTAAAAAAAAGTCACACTCCATGACACCTAAAACATGATGAGTGTCTTTATTCACCAAAAACATTTTTCTCTTAAAGTATATCAAGGTGGGTTTCAAAAGAAGTTTAATTTCAAAGAGATTTCATAAATAATTCTTTTTATAATCTTTTCTGTTACTTGACACAAACTCTTCATCAAATATCTTTGTCGCACTTTGTGCACTTCAAACTAACCATTTGTTAAAAAATAAGCTACTAAATTTCTTGCGGGTTTGTTCTTTTTTTAATCTTTTTTTTTTGAAATAAAAAGTGTAAAAAAAAAAAAAAAATTACAAATTTTGTTTAATAATGTAAATATATTACATTATTAATATTGTATATTTTGTATTATTTAATAAGTGACAGGACGAGGGAGGCAAAGCAATTGAAATATTTGTTACATTATGTTATTTTATTTTGATGTTTTATATAAAAAAAATTTTATCCTTTAAAAAAAAAAATTTTTTTGTAAATTTCAAAATCTCAATATTTTGAAATTTACTATTAAATTTTTTTTTTCTATTCATTATGTAATCATAATGGTCTAAAGTTTTTTTTAGATGTTTAAATTAAAGATTTTGCAAATAGGTGAAAAAATAATTTTGTGCAAATACCCAAAAAAATGTTTGTTTTTTTATTTTTTTGCATAAAATTATGCAAAACTTTTTTAAAATTTAAACAAAAATTTTAAATGTAATTTTTGTAATAGTTTAAATTAAGTGTTTTTATCTGTCATATGATGTGGTAATGTGTGTTTTTATTATGTGTTAATATGTGTTATATTAGGTTGTATGGATTTACATTTTATAAATGTTAATCAAAGGTATTTCTATGTGTGTGCTGTTAGTAGTTAAAATATGTTCAATAAACTCTGTACAACTTGATAACCCTTGATAAATTAATTTTGAAATTACAGTTAAGCCTTTGTTTATGAAACTCTAACATTCTCTAACAAACTAATATCTTAGTCCCTTGGAGGTTTGAATTATTGACTGCAATTTGTTAAGCCATTTGTTAATTATTGTAATGTTTTGTAAATAAAATTTAAACAACCAGGATACACAACAATTCGAAAAAAAAATTCGGACCATTATGAAAATTTAAGATTTAAAATATTGAGATTTACTTTGCGCTTAAAGTTAAATAATTTAGGTGGGTGTATTCAGCTCATATTGATGTTATTATATGCTAAGTTTTATAGTTTTTACTTGAAGTTTTACAAGCACTTTTATATTTTTTGTTGTTGTGACAGTTGTAACCGTGATGGTCGTAACAAAAAATCCAATGCTTAAAAACAACAAAATAAAATAACATAATCAATGATTTAAGTAAAATAATATAAATGATTTTTATATATATATTTTTAATGACAACATCTTGTATTAGAGTTGAATGAGTTTAATATATGAACACCAATAAATAACTGGTGGTCAATTGTTTTTTTGGGACGGTCAAAATTTTATTTTTTACTTTGTTTAAATTTTTTAATTTCTTTTTTTGTTTAAATCATAGCAATAATTTTTACTAAACTTTATAAAAACAAAAATAAGTTTGAAGGGTAACGAACTTGTAATAATGCTTGAACGAACTTGTAATATTTTAATAATAACAACTTTAAATAAAATCCTTTTTTTATAAGTACAAACAGACAATTAACAATTTTTGATTTATTTAAAAATAATTCATTTCATTGCAATGATTTTGCAAATGGTCAGAAAAGTTACTGGCAAAATTGAAGAAGAAAATTGAATGAAAAAAGAAAATACAGTCGAGATTATGTTCTTAGTTACATACTATAATTTCAAATAATAATAAAATAAGAACTTTAATCTCTGAAGTTAAAGACTTCCCTTTGTTATCCCTTGCTCATTAAAATCATTTCAAAAACTGCTAATGTTAATTAGTTAATAATAATGTTATTAACACTTGTTAGCAGATATTTAAACTGAATTTTAATAAGAAGAAGACAACTGTGTAATGAAATACTAAAAATTACCAATGTTACATAAAACAAGATTTTTACTAAATATATATATACTTTTAATAATGTTATTATTAAAAAAAAGGGCAAGCATTCAATTAGTAATTTTTAATTCTATTCATTCTATTAATCCTAATTAATTCTAATAATTTTATTAATCTATTCATTTTTTTATTTGCAATTTTCATGGTTAGCCGATTGAAAAAAAAAATCTCTGATTTTTTTTTTCAATCGGCTAACCATGACCGGTAATAATTTATTTTGGAAGGCCAAAATAGCATTTTTAGTCATTTCAGGCGGTCATTGACTGTTGACCGGCCATTATTTTCGACGCTGTACATAAATAGATTCTATAAAGTCATGCTGCAATGACTCTATTGATGTCATTGCAGGATAACTCCAATGCCATTTTATGTGCAGCTAAACCTGCATTTAGGGATGTATGAATACAACAAATGATGCAATTTCTCTAGGGATTCTTTAGTTTTAAATATAATTCAAGGAAAAACGTTCTTAGCATCTTTGAGTAAGCTACTGATATTCTGTTAATAGTACTTGTTTGTAACTTATAACTATGCAAATTTATTATTTTATAATAGATTTTTAAATCATTAAAAAACAAAATAATTTTAAAAATATTAATATAAATATTAATATTAATATATAATATAAAAATATTAATATAAAATATATTTAATATAAAGTGACAATACATACTTCCATATAGTTCCAAATCTGTAGAGTTTCCATATCTGTAAGAACAAACATGAATTCTGATGCAGTGCCAAAAAAACCAAAAGTACACTATGTTGTAAAGAATAATGTCAGCCTCCAGAATAAGTTTATATATGCAGTGGCTATTCTAGAAAAAAGTTTTTGGTGAAGTGTACTATTGTACCCCTCTAACTATCCTTAAACTTCCCTTCCTCTCCCTTATTTTTATTCAAATCAAGTTTTTAAATTACGCAAAACTTCCTGATCAAAATAAATTTCATAAAATCTAATGCAAGAAGTTGTTTACAATGCATAGAAATAATTACTTTAAAACCAGTAGATTTACATAACCTTTTTGCGTTTTGGATTGTAAACAACAATTAGCACAATAGCTACTTGTCACAGTTCATAAACACAGTCGCTACTTTTCACAGTTTACAAGCAAGCTATTGATTTTGAAAGCAACTTGAGTCTAACACTTATAACAAACCTTTAAAATCAAGTTACTGAAATAAATTATTTTAATGATAATGATTATATTTTATAACACAATAGAGAACTTTTTTCATTTTTTTTAACTCTAACAATCTAGAATAGCCCCTGATATATATATATATATATATATATATATATATATATATATATATATATATATATATATATATATATATATATATATTTGCTTTAATGTTTTGCTGTATAAATACAATTAATATTTTAATATAAATACAGATAGCCAAGGCAAGAAGAAGACCCAATTTGTTTTATCACCAAGCCTTGAATATATATATATATATATATATATATATATATATATATATATATATATATATATATATATATATATATATATATATATTTGCCTTAATAAAAATACCTGCCCTTTATCAAAGCAATGCTTAATAAAAAACATTGTATACCAAGCCAATATAAGTTCCAATAATCCTACTAACACTCCTGTCAATAAATCTTACATCGGTATAAGTGAAACACCATTCAAAATTAGATATGCCAACCATATAGAATCATTTAACATTCTAAAATACAAAAATGACACCGAACTATCAAAAGAATTTTGGAAAGTAAAAGATGCCGACTTAAACCCAGTTGTCAAATGGAAAATAATTAAGCAGTGCAATGCTTACAACCCAGCCATGAAGTCCTGCAAACTATGCACATACGAAAAATATGAAATTCTATTTTCCAAAAATAGAAATCTGCTAAACAAAAAAAGTGAATAGGTATCCAAGTGCAGGCATCGAAACAAGTTCCTTCTCGCCCTATTCGCACGGTTGATTGAACAATTTTTTAATTAATTAAAAAATTGTTTGTTTTGATGTCAGAACTCATTCCATTGCTTTGTTATGGTTTTTTTCTGTTAATTTCTGTATTTTGTATTTTTTAATGGTTTTTTCTTAATTTAAAAAATAAAATATGGCTAATGATTGCCAAAGGGCATGAAACTTTAAGTTCCATCACAAAGTTGTATTTTTTCAAGTAATCAAACTCTTTATATAATAATACTGATCTATTTATTAAACAATTAACTTAATATTGATCACTCTCAAACGAACAAGAGACTTTGTATCATAACTTGGTACAATAAAACATCATATATATATATATGCATATATATATATATATATATATATATATATATATATATATATATATATATATATATATATATATATATATATATATATATATATATATATATATATATATATATATATATATATATATATATACAGTAGAATCCCGTTAACTCAGACCCTAGATAAGTCGGACAAATTTTCAATTCCCCTTGAATTCTCTATACATCCAAAAAGCTTTGCTTAACTCGGATATTCGCTAAGTCTGACAAAATATATATACCCCTTTAGAGTCCGAGTTAACAGGATTCTACTGTATATATATACATATATACATATATATAGGGTAATACTACTGTAATAAAACTGTGGAAAATGATTCCGCGGAAAGTTTTGTCATTAAATTGAATATAAACCCACAAACAAAATAAGTTTTGGAAAAGAAAGCCTTACCAAAAAAATACTTTAGTATATTATAAATACTTTAAATTATATATTATAAACATTTTAAATTATATAAGTTCCTTACTTCCATTTAACGTACTTTATTGTTTTGTTTTTTTTAATTAAATACAAAAGGGGATTATTTTTATTAAAGAAAATTTTTATATCTATAGAGTTATAAATATAAACAAATTAAATCAGGTTATTTTAAATAAAAAAATATTCAAAACATTTTTAAAATTCCTTGAAAAAAAATTACCACAGATAATTCAGTGTTGAGTGTTTGAGTAAGTGAGTCATCCTCATCATATGTTGTCAAGTCTAAAATATTGACTAATCCATCCTAAATTCAAGTAACACAAAACCTATTCAAAATAAAAACTCACAAACTTTATCACATAAAATTTTTCACAAAAAACAAAAATTCAATATTATTATTGAAGTAATTATTTTAAAGCAAAAACACAAAAATTTATTAAAATGTACCGTGGAACCAATACCAACCACCTTTGGATTACTTGGATGGAACAGAATCTAGAAATAAAAAAATATATCTTTCATAATGACAAAATATTTCATAAAAAAGAATAAAATATTTTTAGTTTCACATAAGTCACAAACTTTATATAAAGTATAAATGTGAATAATTAATATTTATAAGTATAAATATAAATAAAATATTGAAATATATTATTTATACTTTGGTTATATCATCAGAATGAATATCTTTAAACACAGCAAGCTTTTTAGGAGATCTTTCTTCAGAATTTCTTATATCCCTATCAAAATAAGTAGGAAAAACTTATTTTCTTATTAAAAACATTTGTAATCACAAAATTACTTGGAAAAAGATAATTGTTGTGATTATTTGTTACTGCCTCATTTTTGAGTTTAACATTTCACATAAAACTTAAAACTTGACAAAAAACAATAAGAGATCTAAAATAATCAATCAATAGGGATTGCTACTTGAACTACTTATTGATAACCAAAATAATAGATTGTATCCATTAGATGAGTACCTCTGGAAGTACCACACTTAACTTGATTCTACACATAGCAGCCTTGTTGTTGTAGCAACCTTGTTTAATGTTTGTGTTTTGGAGTATATGGTTGAGAGATAATCAATGACCATTCATTACTTCATTCATTTACTGTAACTAAACTTTATGTTTAAAAGACTTTTATTCATCTAGTTTCTTTTACATAAATGTTTTCAAGTACTCTTCAGCCTTCTTTTTTCCTGACTCATGTGATGTACATATTTTAAGTAAACTATTACTAGTATCTTATGATCTAAACAATACTTGCTTGCAGCCTTGTTGAAAGTAAAATTTTATTACAAAAAATACTACTTTTACTACTAATAATAACAATACTTATAAAATGCTGACTGAAGCATTAGTGACTGCCAAAAAAAAAAATTAGTATATTAGTATAGAATTTTTACATAATTAGTCATAATGTAAAAATTCTAGGAATTACATTTCTTTAAAACATAAAAACAAATTAAACATGCATAGGAATAATGCATGCTTAATTTGTTTCAATTTTTTTGGAATTAATAATATTAATAATTAAAAAATTATTTAACTTTGAAGAAAAGTTTAAAGACTTCAAAACCATTAATTTACCATTTATTGAAATACTCTTTCATTTTAAACTTGTATTTTAAGTAAGGTACATACCATACTTCAACCATTACTTCCTCTGATTCTTCATCCTTTTCAGTCCCAGCAACTAAAAGTGCACCATCACAGCTAATTCCAAGAGCTGAGTAACCAATGCTTAAATTACCTGACAAAAAAAAATATATATATATATACATCTATATATATATATATATATAAATATATATATATATATATATATATATATATATATATATATATATATATATATATATATATATATATATATATATATATATATATATATATATATATATATATATATATATATACAACCCTCGGAATTAAGAAAAATAAAGTCAGTAATTTATTAACCTCAACTGTTAGAGGTCGGCAGAAAAAAATTTGACACAAAGGGGTTATCATAAAATCTAGAAACAAGGTCTGCAATAAATTGACGATCTCAAACATTTTTAGGTTGGCAGTTAGGTCGGCATTGCCAAAAATTGCTGACCCTAATTCCAAGGGTTGTGTGTGTGTGTGTGTGTATATATATATATATATATATATATATATATATATATATATATATATATATATATATATATATATATATATATAAACAACTTAATAACACCAAAAAAGCATTATAAATATAAACTTTTTTAACTTATAATTGAACTTTTTTTCTCAGCATTAGAAATGTCCCATGACCTAAAAAAATGTTCAAACAATTTTCTCTTTTGTTTTTTTTTTTGCAAAAAATAATTGAGTAATTATTCAACATAAGTCATAACTATATTGCTACATTTGTATTAAATAACTAATCATACTAAAGAATTGCATGCTATGTCATACCGAAGAGTACCATCCAGTGATGCAGACCATACAATTTTAGGTTTTTTTATATCAAATGCTACACAAGAAATTGTAGATGTGTGCCCTAAAAATAAAATTAAAAAATACCATTTTAATTTATTAAATATATATATATATATATATATATATATATATATATATATATATATATATATATATTTATATATATATATTTAAACATATAGTCGTGGCCAAAAGTATGAGTACATCAACTGATTTTGACACCAATGTTCATAAACATACACATAATACTACAAATTGTTTTTTATTAAACTATAAAGTGAAATTTCCCGACCATGGACCCAAAATCTGAGAACCTTTTGTATTTAGCCAATGTTTAACTGCAGCTACATTGTGGCAAGGTGGGCCATTATGTTGAAAGGTATTCCAACCATGAATGGTCATAAAATGTGGCAATTTCTCTTGTTAAACTCTGAGATGAGTTTCACCATTTATTGTCGTGTTGGGTGGAATCTCCCATAACTTAGCACGACCAAAACTGGAAAATGCATCCCACACCAAAATCTTTTCACATTGTTTCACAGTTAAAATAGTGTACAGAGAATTATAGCATTGTTGAGGAGGTCTTCTTATGTAATTATGAAAACTTGAAAATTGCAAAAAGGTGCTCTTATCACTAAACATTACTTGTTCCAATTGCTGTATGGTCCAAGCTTTATATTTTTTGCAAAACAATATTCTGTCTTTTATGTTTTTATTTGATTCCTTGGGTTTTTTCACGGGTCTGTATGCTCTATATCCACTTGGACATAATCTCCTATGTATAGTTCTTGCTGATATAATACGTAGGTCAGGATTACTTGTCTTTATAGCTATAACTGCAACTCGAGGGTCAGCTCGAACAGCTTATCGCTTACCTCGTCTAGAGGAATAGTTTTACCACGTAAAAATACTCCTCTAGAAAAGGAGTAGTTTTACGTGGTCTACCACTTTGCTTGTATGTTTCTAATGTCCAAAACAATAGCCGCCTTAGTGTTGTCTGCACTGCTTAAACTGAGCAACCAATCTGCTTTTTGAAATTGGTACATAAAACAGTTTTTGGTCAAACAAACATTTTATCTGTACTCCCTCGCAATTAATGGCTCTTTAACTTTTACCTTTTTTTTATAGCTTTTAACTTTTACATAAAATATTTTAAATAAAACTTTTACATAAAATATTTTAAATAAAACTTTTACATAAAATATTTTAAATAAAACTTTTACATAAAATATTTTAAATAAAACTTTTACATAAAATATTTTAAATAAAATCCTTTGAGGATTTGGTTATTAGTCTTCATAAATATACATATTCTTGCTAAATGACCCATAAAATATCATAAACTGGCATCATAATCTCTGGTCTGCAAAATTTTAGTAATTTAACAAAATTTTATACAAAACCGTGTATTTTGTTTTCAAGGGGCAAATCAACTTAAATTTGTAGCGAAAAAGTTATAAAAAAAAAAAAGAAACTCACGACTCCAAAAGTAATAGCACTCTAGTAACTAACTGCATTATAAAAGTAATAACACAATAATAGTGTTATTACTTTTATAACGCACTTATAACTTTTATAATTCATTCTTTGTTTAAACAACATAAGTAATCACAAATTTTAATTGAAGTAGAAAAGCATCTAGTAAAATAGAGTGGATGTTCAAAAAATATTTAAAATTTAAGGAACTTAAACAACTTTATGAAATTGTACTGTATAAAAAGTTTATTATTATGAAAAATATTACTAATTGTCCATAAAAATGCACGTTATTTTAAAATTAGGCAATAAAAATTATTTATTAGTTGATTTTAAAAATAACGCACATATTTATGGGCCATTAGCAACGTTTTTCATAATGCTAAACTTTTTATAAAGTACGCTTTTATAAAGTTGTTTAAGTGTATTTGTAAAAGTTCCTAAAGTTTTTAATAATATTTGAATATCACTAGATGCTTTTTTGCTTTAACTAAAGTTTAGAATTACTAATGTTGTTTGAACAAAGAATGAACTTTAAAAGTTATAAGTACTTTATAAAAATAATAACACTATTATAGTTTATTACTTTTATAATGCAGTTAATGATTAGAGTGTTATTTCTTTGGTACCTGTAAGTTTATCATTTTTTTTTTTTTAACTTTTTAGCTAACAAACTTATAATAATTTGCTCCTTGAAAACAAAGTACATGGCTTCACATAAACAAAAATTTTGAAAACCAGATATTTTTCCAGATTTTGCAAATTGCGATCATTTAATTCAACCCTTGTGTGTGTGTGTGTGTGTGTGTATATATATATATGCAATCTTTCAGGAAGACGTGCGATTGCACGACTTTATATGACCAGACAAATTACATTTTGTTTTGGCAATTTAACCGTGGGTTTTCAGAAAACATCGTAAAAACGCGCTAAATGAAAAATATTCTGAATTATACCTTAAGTTAAATTACATCAAAACTTAAGTTAAATTACATCAAAACTTTTAACAAATATTTTTATATTAACGAAAATAAAGTAACAATTTACTGATAATGGTTTTTTTGAAAAGTATAATTGACAGTTGTATGTATTTTTTTAATTTATAATATATAAACTGTTTGAGTGTTCCTTTTTGTATCCTTAAATATCCTTTATTAAAAAATAAAAAATTGTTTTGTTTTTATAAAAAATGACATTCTATGACAATAAAAGTTTCTTAAACGAATTTTGATATAAGAATAATTAAAATTATACATTTGAAAAGATAAACAAAATTTTGCTGAAAAAAAAAAGACAAATGTTTTAGAAAGCCGTTACAATTAAATAATTTAATTATTATTAAATAATTTAATTAAAATAACAAAATGCTTTTTAATGAAGTAAGAAAACATTTCTAATGAATTTTTATAATAAGTATTAATAAACCGTTGTTGTTTTTTTTACTTATATAGTTACGTATTTTTTATGATAAATGTTTATCTTTAGAAACATATAGAAAACAAAGTACAAATATTAAAACAAAGAATCTGATGCTTGCTAAAGTTTTTACAGGCATGTGAGCGAGAGCAAAAAGACTTAAGCGCAAAATCACTGGCTAAATGGAGAAGATTGATATATATATATATATATATATATATATATATATATATATATATATATATATATATCTACTATAGCATATTTATATGCGCAATTGCTCACTTTTTTGCTAGCCTAATTTAGCAGCACTCCACTGCGAGTCAGGCTATTTGTCAGTCGATGTATGTACTGAAGCCCCCGGCAGCAGGCTATTTGACATTAGGTGAATATGACATCATCATGCTCACCTAACTCAGCAGTATAAGATATATATATACATATATATATATATATATATATATATATATATATATATATATATATATATATATATATATATATATATATATATATATATATATATATTAGGGGCTATTCTAGACCATTTTTAACTGCGCCGACTGTATTTGGGCGCCACCCAAATGGAAATTTGAGGCCTTTTTTTTTACATTTTTAACAGTGAATATTGCTTTTTTCACAAAAAAACACAGATTTTCCAATAAATTTATCCAGGATGAAAGGATGGGATAGGAAGGGGGGCACCCTGCCTAAGTATTTTCCTAGAATAGCCCCAGTATATATATCTATCTATCTATATCTATATATATATATATATATATATATATATATATATATATATATATATATATATATATATATATATATATATATATATATATATATACATATATATGTATATATATATATATATATATATATATATATATATATATATATATATATATATATATATATATATATATATATATATATAACCTGACAAATTATCTCTGTAAATATCAAGTATTGATGTTTAAAACATTTTACTTTTAAATCATTTAAGCATTAATAGAAGGCAGTAAATGCTTATAAATAGCCTTCATCTACATTCCCTAATATAAAGACAATAAATTAGTAATTTATGTATACTATCACAAGAAAAATACCCAAAAAAAATAATAGAGCCTCCACTATGTTACTGTAAGTTTTATTACAGTACTTTTATGTGTTTCTCCTGATTTTCTCCATACCATTTGGCCACGTTTTGAGGTTTTTAGTTTATATATACTTTTTCTTATCATTTTTTGATAAAAAAATCTTTTGACTTGCTAGTCAAAAGATTAATTTATTATCGATAATTTTGATAATTTTCCGAAAGCTGATATTGATAAGTCTTGATAATTTTCTTAAAATTATCAAGGCTTATCTTTTTTTTCTAAGCTACATGGCCACATAACTTATATTAATTTAATCTTGATTTAATTTAGGTATCATCAATGAGTAAATTTAAAACTTCTTTTATCTTTTGTGATGAAATAAATGGTCTTTTCTTTGCCTCACTCGCAATTACTTAGTCTCTACATGGTGTAGTTCTTCATTTTTAGCCACTTTGTGGTAGAAAAAGAATTGCTCTGGCCCTAGAAACATTTTGTAAACTTTACTTGCAAAAATTCACTGGGTTATCTTTGCTTATTAAATCATTTGTTACAGGTGAAGCATAAAATCTCTAACTTTCTGCATTCTAGAATAAATGTTCGTAATGACTCAGCATATTTACACTATAGATGGAAACACGCTATAGATTACCTCATAGTGAAAGATATCATACTTTTTCTTCAAGTTTTCTTCATAATTTTATTTTAAGATTTTTTAAACAACATCAAAACAACAAATTTTTTTCTTTTATTTTATAACTACTTAATAAAAATTAAATCATATAATATATAATATAATAAAAAATATACCAGAAAATATCATACCAAGCATATAATAAAAAATACCATACCAGAAAGTACTCCTTCTGTACAAAATGTCTCAAGATTGTATAACTTGATTTCATGTGTGCAAGAAACTAAAAATAATATTATTATTAGTATTAAATATTTTTATCCTATACTTTTAGGCCTATCATCTAAGTTTATTTATAATAAAAAATTACATCAATTTGCTTTAAACATAATAAAAACATGTGTATGTCCTACAAGCGGTGGAAAAACCTGACCCAACAGCCTTAACAACCTGCTAATTAAGTAGATTCAGATTTTCCTTGTGTTTAGGTCATAAATAGGTCATCTAGCTAAATGTGCTAAATAGAGTTATAAAAAAGAATCAAATTTATTAGATAAAATATAATAATTTATTAAGCATAAAGGTTTTAGTATACTTTTATTAAAAAATTAGGGAGAAGCCTCATTCATATCGCGCAACAAAATTTTTCAAAAAATTTTGAATGGAGTTTTAAAATATTACCTGAGCACATGCAAAAGTAAACTAAATACAAATAGAAAGAAAAGCAGTTTGAACTGTATTAAAATGTAGAGTTCAAAAAAATGCAGAGGAGCCCCTCTGCTTTCTAAATTATGTCTGAGGAAGTTCTCTGTATACAAACAAATATTTGCTGTATAGGTATGCTGTATTTCAAGTTCTTTGGTGGCAACTAAAATCACTTTTAATCACTATATTCATTTGCTCATATCAAATGCTTGAATAAAATGTTAATACAAAAAAAAAAAAATATTTCAAAATGAGCTTATTTCTGGTGTACAATGAGCTCTGGATGAATTTATACAAGGCTAAAAATATTTTAAATATTTTTAGCCTTGAATAAATTCAAAATTCATTCAAGAATGAATTTAAAATTCATGTTTAATATACCTCCCCACAGTTCTGATAATGTATTGCGTGCGCATATCTTAATAGTACATCTATTAAGAAAATACACAGAATTAAGAAAACAAAAAAAACAAAAAACAGTTGTTTTCATGACCTTTCTTTACTTTTATTGTAAGACTTTTATTTAACTTAATAATAATTACTTATTGCTGAAATTTACCAAAATAACAGCTGTCCAAGTACAGGTTTTCACCAAGTAGTACTCTTTGTTGTCTGTTACTTAAGAATGATTTTATCCATGCAGCAAATTTATTGTTAAAACTGAACAATTTGATTTTATAGATAAAATATTCATGGAATAAAGTGTTAAATGCTTTCATAAAATCAGTAAAAAGAATGTCTAATGAATGTTTGTTATGTAAAGCTGTACTTCACAGTTTTTTAGAATGTATGGACTTAACATCAACTCAATTTGTGTTTAAATTTTTATTTTCAAGTTACTGTAATATTGATGTTTCTCAAAAAAGAATATATGCACTATCATTTTTAAAAGAAAAAAGGAGAAGTTTTGTACGAATTTGTATAAGAAATGAAACGTTTTCATATGCGGAATTTAAGAGTATTTAATATTCAGAAATACAGGCACGGTGAAAACACGACAGTGGAAATGTTGAAAGAAAATCTGAAAAAAACAAATAGATTAAATAAATGCTAAAATTGCTTAAGATTATTCACCACATCATTACACCCACATTCACCACATCATTACACCCACAATCACCACATCATTACACCCACATTCACCACATCATTACACCTACATTCACCACATCATTACACCCACATTTACCACATCATTACACCCACAGTCCATAAACTCTACTACTCGCTTTAGCTCTACTACTTTAGTTTATTAATTAGTTTTTACTTACACTTAGATAGAAATTAAGAAATGTTAAAACAGATTGTGCTTGCAAAATAACTACGGGCAAAATGGCTGGGAAAAGCATTCAATTTATAATTTATTTACAAAACTACTTGACTTTATTAGAAATTGATATGCATAAGAGATTTGCATTAACCAAAATTTAGTCACCCAACCACTTGTCAAACAAATACAATAACACAAATTATATTTATACTTATTTTATAACTGTATAAAAAATTACTTTTTAATACAGTTTTAATATTGGTAATTGAACATCTTTTAAATGAATGTAATTAAACAATTAAATTTATAATAAAAGAATAAATCTTAATCTCCTGATGATAAATTCCCACAACTATAATAGTATCTGCAGTACTATATTAGTATCTGAAATTATAATTTTTTATTATTTCATATTAAAAATTTTTAATAAGTATTAAAAGGTTTTGAAAGCAAAACAGCTTAAACATGTTCTTTCAGAAGTTTAAGCTATTTTACAATTCTGGAATGAATTTGTCATTCGACTTAAACATTCTATTATAAGTCCTGGTTTTTAATGTCATGCAGTTGTCAAAATTTTACATTCAGTAAGTAGAACAAAATAATCACTACATCACTGATTTAGTTTTAGGTACAATTGAAATGTAGGTACAATTTTAGGTACAATTGAAATGTGGTGTTTGCACTTAACTCTTGGGTAACAACCTTTAAAAAATTAAAAAAAACTTTAACTACTCTTGTGCAACTCTTCCTCCAGCGTCACATAGGTAGCAACAAGATAACAGATTTAATCTCAAATATATTTAATTTATCATCAATCAAATAAAATAGATGGAATAACAAAAAATAATAATAAAAAAAGTAATAAAAAATTTGATCTTCATTTTTAAAATAGATTACAAAAAATGAGCATAGTATTTTATCTTGTGTTTTTTAAACTTTTAAACTTTTTGCTAAAATGAACTTGTTAAATGACATATTTGAACTTTGACTTTTTAGAACATTTTAAAATAATTGTTTTTGTTTGAATAGTAAATGTTTTTAAATTTGCAGTCTATTTGGAAAAAAATTATGCTAAATATGGAAAGATAATTAAGTTATGAATTAATGCTTAAAAAAATTCATCAAAAAAAAAAAATTTTTTTTAAAGAAACTGTCATTATCTTAATAACATACAAGTTAAATGGTTGTGAAAATCCTTTTTTTACACATTGTGCCAACAATGTGTAAAAAAAGAGGGAACTTTAAAATGTACTTAATAAAAGTTTTTACAATTTTCTTTATTTCAATGAAAAACCTTATAGTTCTTGATTGCATTAACAGATTTTTATAATCATTTGCAAAATGTATAATTTGTCATTAAAAAACTTTTGAAAATTGATTTTAATAAACTTGTGGTGTTAAATTAAAATATTTGTGGAGTAAAGTTAAAATATATTTGGATTAAGTTAGAAATTTTGGATTAAGTTAAGAATGAGTTATAAGAATATATAAAAATAAGCTATTCTGAATTAAGAAAAATGAAGTTCCCTAAAATCTGAACTTTATAAAAGTTCAGATTTTAGGGAATTTAAATTGCAATTTTGTGATTTTGTTATTTTATTTTTATAATAAAACTAAAAACGTAGTATTTTACCATTAATAACCTGTTCATTCTGACAAAAATAAAAAATAAATTTTAGGAGCATTATAAATTTCAATGCTAAAAGCTGTATTAAACAACAATAAAACAATATGATAAGGCTGTTTTTTATTAACAAAACAACAATGTGTATGTATGTATGTATGTATGTATGTATGTATGTATGTATGTATGTATGTATGTATGTATGTATTTATGTATGTATGTTTGTATGTATACATATATATGTACAGTACTGGCCAAATTAATACGATAATTGACAAAAAACTTGTTTTTTAAACTTAAAACTGGTTTTTATTTCTCATGTTCAATATATAAGCCAAAATTTAGCAAGCATACATGTACTGTATACTATTTACTCGTTGGGCATATGTTTTCAGTATTAAGTTGCACCGCCCTTAGCTTTTATAAGCGTTGCAATTTTATTCAGCATACTTGCATAGTATTTGGAAATTAACTGTGCAATACCCGGGTTGTGAAATGATCAATGCATTTGATCAGGTCACATTTTTTAGTGGTGGTGACCTCGTTTACTCTGTCTTTCATATTGTGCCATTTCCCTTCAATTGGATTCATATAAGGACTACTTGCCAACCAGGGCATCACCTCCATTTCGATGTCAACTAAGTGGTCCTTGATAATGTTTGCTGTATGGAAGGGTGCCTCATCTTGCATGTAAATGCAGTTCCCAACAGGAAACCAGCCCTCTAGTCGAAGAATCAGACAATTTCTTATAACTTTCTTGTACTGTTTAGCATTCATCATGCCATCTACAATGTATAGATGCCCTGGTCCTTAAAAAGATATCACGCTCCAAATCAAGACTTTAGTCGGATGTTTGACCTTCTGCACCAGACCCTGCGGAAGAAATTCTTCTCCTGGTCTTCTTCTTACATAGCTGCAATTGTTGTCCAATATTTCCAGTGTCGATTCATCAGAAAAACATACCTTAAACACACACATACACATATACAGTATTATACACATATACAGATCACAGATTTTTGTTACAAATTTAATTTTTGTTATTTTTCTTATTCTAATGATTTAAATTAAGTTTAATTTAAAAATTATTTTTCTGAACAGTATGGAAGTAATCAAACATTTAAACAAAACTTGCTATTTTCCAGTCCTCCACTATCTACGTGGCAAATTGTTTGGCCCATAATAAAGTTTCTTCACCATTGCAGTGATTAATTTTGGTTTCTTTCTTGGTTGATATGCCCTCAAACCAGTTTCAACTAATCTTCTTCGCAGTCCTGCTACTCATCTGATCACCTAAGGTGTTCATTTCATCAATCTGCATGATGTCATGTGTTGGTTAGATTTAAAGAGTCTCGCCAAAGCTCAATCATCTTGTTGCTTTCTTCTGCATTTTCCTTTACATTTTGGAGTACCAGTTGAGTCATACTGCATGTTCTTTTTTATGCTTGACACGAGCTACCCCACATTTTAAAGCTGACATTAAGTAAGTTTAGTATTCTCCAAGAGAACCTTAACCCACCTTACAGGTACCTTAACCCCTTTTACAGGTAGGCAAGTCACTTTTTTTTCCCATTGCTACTAAAGTAAATAAATAAAAAAAATTAAACAATGTACAAAAAACCTAAAATCAAGTCATTTTTGGTGGCCTGACTGCTTGCAAAATAATCCCTGCCTAATTGCAAAT